TGGTGCTGGGGGATTGAACCGTGGTCCCTGTGCTTTGCCAAGCTTGTTCCAAGTAGGTGCTTTAGACCACTGAGCCATCTCACCAGCCCCCCAAATATTTTAATATTAGAACAAATCAAAAGAAAGAAAGAACAAATCATCCACCCTAAAAATGGGACCCAGTTTCGTTTGTGTCATTTCCTCAGTTCCTGAATATAAGTTCTGCTCGCCACCTGCTTTTGTTCTGAGGTGTCTATAATGGAATATTCCTTTATATCCTGATCATTCTCCTCCCTTCCACCTAGTCTATAGCTTTTCACTTTCTGTTTGTGTTCTGTCTCTTCCACACTCTTTGGTTTTCTTCTTCTGCTCCACATATTCTTTTCCCAGGCATTTGTTGAGCACCTATTACATGCTGAGCCTAAGAATGCAAAGGTGAATAAGAAACGGGAAAATGAATGTGCCTTGCTCTGGAGAGGCATAGGCAGCCAGAGGTGCTGCGGGGGCCCGGGTGGGTCTGTGCAGGAGGCTGAGAGAATGTGATGTCTGAGCTCGTTCTCTGTGGACAGCTGGGAGGGAGTTCTCCAGCCAAGGAGCAGTGTGAACTGCCTGACATAGTGGGAGAAAAGAAAAGTAGGGTAACCAGAGAAGGGAGAGCTGAAGATTCAGGTGTGAAGTACAGCTGAAAAGATGGCCCTGGGCCAAGTGGAAGGGAATCTGACCTCACCAGCCCTGAGGAGCGGACTTCAGGAGGTAAGGGCCCACTTCAGGACACAGGGGTTTGAGCACAGTCATCTCATCTGGTTGCCAGCCCGAGTTAGTATTGGAGAGAAGGAAGGTTGGAATGAGCATGTGTAGTTAGGAAGCGTTTTAGCACCAGGCCCTAAGTCAGGTGGAGTAGAAAGGATAGTTGATAGGTGCTTGGGGAAGAAGAATCCTGTGGCTTGGTGAGAAGAGAGAAGTGATCATCAGAGTTGGTAGTGGCCTTCTAGCATAGCAACCTTATGATGCTGCTGTTGAAGCTGGGCTCTGGGGCCTGACTCCACAAGAGTTACTGGGCAAGGTCCTGGCTCAGTGCTTGGTGATGAGGCACTGTGGGATGTGCAGGGGGGGCTGCCCAGGAGGAAGCTGCAGGCGTGGTTCAGGGAGCAGAGATGAAGACATGATGACTTGGGGAAGGAGGTGATGAGAAGACACAGGCGTTCGAGGGTGGCCACTGCTGTGCTGTAACCCGTGCTTCATCAGGCGGCAGTAAATAGCACACTAACCTAGCAAACACCTAAGCTGATGTCAGGTAGAGGAGGCGCCACCAGAAGGCTTAGGTCAGAACAGTTGGCTGGCCATCTGAGGAGAGAAGAGTGCCTCTGAGGAGAGGTAGGGCTTGGGGCAGGACAGTGAGCTGCAGGGTCAGATGCAGCAGGAGATGGGGGTGAAAGTGACTTTGGGTTCAAGTCTAAGCGTTCTCCAGGGTTAGTAAAATTCGTGTATGTGGAATTTTCTCTGCTCTCTGAATGTCCTGTTGCTTCTCAGTTTTTATACTGAATGGACATTTGTAAATATAAGTTCTTCCAAACATTGTTTTCTTTCTAGTTGGAAAACTGCACTACTTTAGTATGAGCCTGCTAGTTTTTATCTTTCACTAGTCTCAGCTGCTCCTCTTTAGAGTTCATAGGTCTTTCATTCATCTCTGTAACAGATCTTGTTCTAGACAGGTCTTAGCCGAAGTTTTACTCTGTGGATTAGGCTGTCCTAAGTCTGCCAAATCTGAACACCTGCTCATATACACAGTAGAGTGCACATCTTGTGTACATTTCACCTGTGTGACTTCAGTTGTTACTATGCTGGAAAGAGAAAGGACACAAAACAGAGCAGATCAGTAATCCTGCCTTCCCTGACCTGGGAGGAGCATGCGAGAGTCTGCTTTTCTCTCCTGTGTCAGCTCCGGGTAGATCTAGGTATCACTGACTCTCCAAACAGATTATGAATCTGATATTTTAAAAAGCACACGCATATGCCAGATAGGTGGTGCACACCTGTAATCCAGCATCTTGGTAGACCGAGGCAGCAGGATTGTAAATTTGAGCCATCCTAGGCAATTTAGCAGGACCCTGTCTCAAAAATAATAAGGGCTAGGGATGTAACTCAGTGATAGATTGGTGGCTGAGCATGTGTGAGGCCTAGAGTTTAGTCACCTGTACTGGGGAAAAAAAACAGGTGCATACACTTATATAGACCATCAATCGTAAAGGCATCCAAGCAGGGCTCCTAAAATGATGCTCAGAGGGGCAGGGAAGAAGGAAGCTGCTGCAGATGCAACTGTGTGACTCACTGGTGATGCCTGCCTCTTTCTAAGAGCCTTGAAGGGCCATTTTGGCTTGTGAACACTTTCTTTTTCCCATGGACTCTGTGGCTCTGGCACACGTAGAGGATGCACCCCCTTGCATGAGGCACATACATGCAGTCAGCTTTCCCTCTGTCAGCACCTTCAGTGCTGTGCTTGGTTGGAACCACAAGACCAGGCCAGGACGGCCAGGACGTAGAACTTCTGGCATCCTGAGTTCTGGGAGAGCGTAGGAGTCAGAGTGGGAAGCTGTGCGATAAGTAAGCCTACCTGAGGGATCAGAGGCTATGAGCTGTCGGGAAGCCACACTGGCACGCTGCAGACATCTGGGGCCCAGCATTCACACCCAGCTGTCACCTGGAGACTCCAGTCGTACCTGAGTGCTTTACTTTCCTCTTCTGAGGTGAGAGGGCCATGGATGGATTTGCTTGAGGACACAGGGACAGATAGAGGCTCCTTGGAAAGGGAGGGTGTCCAGTGTGGCCGAGGTTCTGCCTGAGCGGTGCTGGGACTGCCTTCCGTTGCTGAGCCTTCCTGGGCTGCGCCGTGCAGACGCTCCCTGCCTGGGGCTCCTTGGCAGCCCCAAGAAGGAAGCAGTTGCCCGGTGTCTGCGCAGCTCCGACCCCAGGCAGCGCCCACGGCCCGTGGCTCCCTTGGCTCTGTCCACAGCCACGGGATGCGCCCTTGGTAGCTGCTGTCTTCCTGCTCCGTCCCTCCACCTGCCGGGCCCTGTGTCACCTTGAGGACACAGGCGGCTCTGACTCTTCCGGTTCTTAGAACCGTTCCCATCCATGTTCCTGTGGCATGTTCCGTTTATACCACGCAGAGCCACAGCGCTCTTGGTCATGTTTGCTGGTCCTCAGTGCGGAGCTCACATCTAGGCACAGAAACCTGAAGGACTTTGCTGTGTGTGTGCTTCATGAGTGTATCTCTGGTGGCCCCCCAGCCTGTGAGTTCCTTGCTAAATGTTGTTCTTTTGTTTTCTGTCATTTTTTCTCTGTAGAGCTTTCATTGTTGAGGTTCCTCAGTGCCGAGCTAACGAGAGGGTACTTCCTCGAGCATAACGAGGCCAAGTATACAGAAAGAAGAGAAAGAGTGTACACTTGTATGCGAATACCGAGAGAATTGGAAAAGGTACTATTTTTTCATTTCCACACCTTATTTTGACAGCTAGGTCAAAGTGTTAATTGTGCAAAAAATTGTGGGCAACTTCAGTTACACTTCTTAAGCGTTAGAAATTATGTGATAAGTAATTGTTTGTGCTAGGGGAGTAGCAATTCCCTTACAGGAAGATTTTTTAAATGGTATATTTTTAGTACAAGAACCAACGATAGCATATTAATAAGTTTTATCAAAATCTTTACTACTTTCTATATTTATGCCCTATCCAGACTTTTTCCAAAGAATTCCTGTCCATTTATGTACTCATACAGTTTCTTCAGATTTGTCTTGCTGGAAGTAGCATGACACATGTTTGATTTCAGTCTTCCCAAGGGTTCAGAAAGCACACAGTTTGTATTTTAAAATGGGAATGAACAGTCTTCAGACAGAAAGGTGCTCTTGAGCCTTTGTCCCAGAAGCGGCACAGAGGAAGCCTGGCGGTGGAGTGCTCTGCATCCCACTCGGTCCCCTGCCGTCTTGGCCTCTGTTTAGTCGGTGGTGAGCCTGAGCAGCTCCAGAATTCCTTGCCAAAAGTAAGAAATGGTTTAGCTAGTACACAGAAACACGTTTTCATACTTTTGTCCAGTTTCCTTAGACTCTTGCTGTCTATCAGTGGTCAGCAGGCCTTTGTTGGCTCACTCCAGGGGGTGCTGTGGTCACAGTAGGGATGGTGGGTGATGGGGAGCAGGGGCCCCACCAGGTGACGCTGGTTGTGTCTTCCCTAGGTCACCAGTGAGCGCGACCTCTGCAGCATTAGGGGGTCCTGGATTTGATGCGGTTGGGGCCGTGGTGAGGGCACAGCATAGGTTGAAGAGAGCGGATGTGCCAAGGGGATGGTGGCCTAGGGTCTCGCAGCCTGCCTGGTCCCCATGCCTTGCTGCTTCCGAGGGAGGCAGGTGAATGAGGACCAGAGGAGCTGGCTCCACAGCCCGCAGCAGCTGCATCCATGGGGACAGAGGTTTCCTAAGACTGTCTGGGGCTGGGAACAAAGAGGAGAGGCTTGAGCCAAAATAAAAGATGAAGCCATGTCTTATATGTGAAAACACTTTTGTTTGCTTTTAAAAGCCCACCATTTTCTCCCTGTGGTAGCATGGAGAGGGAAAGTGGAGGTGCAGAGATGGGGCGGGACAGGCAGCTGGGGCCTGCGTATGTCCCTAATGAGGCCAGTGCCTTGTGCCCTCACCCCCCCACGCCTTAGCCTTCGTTCAGTGGGAGGCTTCCCTCACCCAGCGGAGCCCACAGCCGAGCATGATCACTGGATACCTCAGTAGGGTGGCAGCTGTCTGACCCTCCTGCCATCCGTCCAGTGGTGACATCCTACGCATGATACCTGCTGGGATACAGGTTCAGAGCTTTATTGGCGAGCTCTGAACCATTCCCAACCGTTGTCACTCATGAAACACATGGAGAGCAGAGCAAAGCCATTTGTAATTCTGTGCCTAGATGTGAGCTCCGCACTCAGGACCAGCAAACATGACTGAGAGAACTGCTCTGCGTGTATAACGGAACATGGTTGGGACCAGTTCTAAGATAGCAGGCAACCTTGCTGCTTTGCATTTTTGTTACTATGAGTACAGACTGTCTCTGGAGAAACTGCCCACAGCTATGCACGAGGTTTAGGTATAAGCAGGTGTTTTTAGACGAGTGTCCACCATGAGGAACCTTCTGGGTCAAGTAATCTATGCAGAAAATTATTGTGAGGGTTTTCTTTTCTGTAAGAAGAATAGGAGAAGTATCAGAGGACTCTGTCTGTATTGTTAGTGTTGGTTGTGGAGCTTGGATTCACTGAAGGTGCATTACGTAGTGTCAGAAAAGCTGAACTAACTCTGCTTATATGCATTTTTTTTTTCTGTGAGGCTTTCGGCTATGGTCTACTTGGGAAAATTCAAGTCAGTCTCTTAAAACAATACTTAAAGAAGCTTTATAGTATAAATACACAAAAAGACATCATGTATTTCAGTTTATACAATTTTTCTGTAACTTCTAAGACCAAGTGAAATACTGAGGAAAGCAGAGTTGGGTTCCAGTTTAATTCTAGGCAAGACCTTTGATATGTCTCAGGTAACTACCCAAACTCACTCCTGTATTTTAGGATGTTTATTTCACATAAGTGGGATCCCACATAAAGCTATTACCATAGCCATTGAGACCCTATTTAGATTTTTTTTCCCTGTACCAGGGACCTTGTGTTTGCCAGGCAGGTACTTATGCCACTGAGCTATATTCCCAGCCCTATTTAGGTTTTTTAGTCAACCTAAATGTTTTTGTTGGTTTCTTTTTAGCTTACATAGCTTGTTTTTAGATATCTTGATTTACAAACATTTTTGTTTGCAGACAGTTTGGTTCATAAATAGAAATGTTGGACAAAATTTTATTTTTGATTGCAAACTCTACATTAGATTGCTGACAGCTATAACCATCACTCCCACACACACACACAGTGTGGCCATCTTTTCCAGAGTAAATGCTGTGATGCTTTCGTCTAATGTTTTCAGGAAGAAAGACTTGAAAATTTGAAAGCACTTTGCTTCTACAGAGCTTATACTTACTATAGGGTGTATGTCTAATGGTTATACTTTAAGGTCAGAAGATTAGCTCTGTGTTACCCAGTCTATTTACTAATATAAAACAAAACAGTCCTAGAAGTTTTATATAATGTGTCTGGCTTAATAATCTATACTTCATATTTATTAAAAACAAATGGTTTATATGAAGTAATATTTACAACTTTTTGTTAACACTTTTCTACATTTGAACTTCTCGTTCTCACGTAAAGCTACAGAGCTGGGGGCAGTGTGGCTTTGGAAGGGCACATCTTCCTTTACACCTAGATCCCCCTTCTCCGTCCACTTTCAGTGTTTCTGCGAAGTCTCTTCCCACTGTTGGCTCCTTATACACAAAAGGAGACTGAAGAACAGATTTCCCTACTTTCTGACTAGAGAGGCAGGGAGCGAACTGGTAAGAGGACGAAAGCTAAAGGCAGGCTCCTGTTGCCAAACTAGGCTCTGGGCTTTGCCAGGGATGAGTGAGGCCGCGAGCAGCTCGTTCACCTCCCCGCACGCCAGGCGTCTCCTATGTGAACAGGGTGAGTCCTGTACAAGAACCCCCAGAATTCTGATTTGTGTATGTGCTAACGTAAGGAAAGAAAGGTCACTTATTCCTTTGTTCTGTGCTTGAAGCACTTTCTTTTTGAGTACAGTCTGGCTCTGCCTCCACTCAGCCCTGACCTTGCTGTCCTCCTGCAGCAGTCGTCCAGCTGCTGGGACTGCAGGCTTGTGCGCATGTCCAGCTGGCTTATGCATTTCCTATGTCCCAGACCCTTTTCCAGTATGAAAGTCTAGAGGTAAACATACAACTCAAGGCTTAGTCTAGTGGGAAATACAAAATGCTAAGTAATGGTAATAGAAGAAACAAAGTGATGAGTGTCATTAAATAGTATAATAAATCTTATTAAGAATTTACACAGACTAAAGTGCCTGCTTAGGCAGAGCGCAGACGCTGGGGTTCAGTCCCTGCTGTACCATGCTGGCTGGCCCTGCCCCCCAGGCGTGCTGACGTGGTGATTGAGACTGGGCCCGACGGCACATGCCTGTAATCCCAGTGCTTGGGAGGCTGAAAACAGGAGAATAACTACGAGTCCGATCTACATAGTGAGACCTTGTAGACCCTGTACCAGATACATAAAGGGAAAAAAATAGTAATTTACAGAAGACAGGCTTCCTAAAGAGGACCAGTTTGGGGCATGTGTCAGAGGACATATGCATGTGACCAGTGATGAGGGCGAGTGTCCTGGGAAGTCAGAGGTGAGAACTTGCTAGCACAGCCAGCAACCTGTCAGGACACACTGGAAAGGCAGAGCAGACCCAGGTTATGTTGAAGGTTCAGGATGAAGAGCTTAGAATCGAGACTTTGGGTGGAGGATGTTCAAAACACGCATCTTAGGAATGCTTCCAGCTGTATGTCAGGGAAAACTATGGATGGCTTCCGCAGGCAGAAGTTAGCTTTGTTTTGTTTTGTTTTGTTTTTTAACCAGGCGTGGTGGTGCTCACCCATAATCCCAGTGCTGGGGAGGCTGAAATAGGATCGCTGCGAGGCTGAGCTGCATAGCAAGACCCAGGTTCAGAAAATAAATAAGTAAACAAAAACAAACAAGTCTAGAAGAAGGAGTTCTCAGTTGTTTCAGCACATTAATGAAGCTATTATGGATCTCCCTGTCTTTCTGTCATTGGTTATTGGCTTTTGGTCCCCTTGTTTGTTGCCTTTTAATAGAGAGATGACAAGTGTGGCATTGGCGTTATATAATCACAAGGAAGACACAGTGGTCAATGCCGCTTTTGAGCTGTGCCTATAAAGAAAGCACCATGGGCAGTGAGCATGCCTTACAAGGGATTAAAGCTGTCCAAGAAGCACCCTTGCAACACTTCCATTTCTGCCTTGTTGAGCTACGTAGCCATCCCAGCTGCCGGGGCAGCTAGGACAGTGAATGGTACGTTTTTCCCAACAAACAGGAGAGGATTTAGAATGGGCATTGAATTAGCCAACCTGCAGAGGTGTGCTTCTGAAGAGCTATCCAATACTCAACATGGATGCAAAATAAGCACGGGATGCCCAAGGTCTATCTATACGTGTGGTCTTTCTACAGAGTAAGATATTTAATTATTTTATTTACCTCCTAAGATGTTTGTTCTTTGTGTTAATTGTATATTAGATATAGATTATAATTTTCATGACTATTCTATCAAAATTACTTCTTCATGTAACCTGGTCTGTCATAAAAAGTTGAACTAAAGTGAATATATATATTTTACTTTTGTCCCCTATAAATTACGTGCTTTTTTGCACTTTTATTGTTACACTTTTATGTTGTAATCATTTAGTATATTTTTCTAAACATTGAATTCAACTGCTTCGTCTTAAGTGGAACTACTTTTTTCTTCTATGAATCTAGCAAACACTTTTTAAGCCTTAAATTT